TCTCTTTGAGTTTAAATATGTTAATATTTTTAATTATATTAGAATGAGGTTTGAAAGCTTCCTATGAGAACAATAAAATCTTAATCAGAATAATATGTGCCAATCAATCAAAGTTTGTGCAAGTAAAGATTTATCAGTGTTTGCACACATGATTTCTTCAAAGCAAATATGGATATTACCATAGATTCAGATTTGCCTGCACATAAAAGTTTCCACAGAAAATTTTAAATTTATGGGTTCTATATAGGGAAACAAATATATATATCAAAATCATTACTCTTTTTCTCCCCCTTTGACATCAATAAAAAAGAATGTAAAATACACACAATGATTGAGTTAAAAGGATAACAATAGAAGATAGTATTCCTAATACAGAAGATCTGGGTAACACCCATATCCTCATAATTTATTACATTAGCAATAATAATTGTTGTAATAATGATGGGGATCCTAGAAAATTCAGAGAGAATACATGACTCATGATTGAGTTCTTTGATTGATGCTTTTACCCATAATTCTTTGACAAGATTAGGGTAAGTGGAACCAAAGAGCATATCAAAGTAACCATTCCAGCCTTGAAAAGAGATGATATCTTGAAGAACAAAGCCATGAACCATCATTTTTTCAAAATTAATAAGCCTTTCATTGACGACAACCAACTGGCTCTCGACACCATGGTTAGCTCTTGAAGTCATCTCAAGTTTAGGGTTTTCACACAAGAAAAGGGAAAAAGAGGATTTTAGAAAACAATGAGAAAGAGAGAGAGAGGGATAGAGAGAGAGAGAGAGAGAGAGAGAGAGAGAGAGAGAGAGAGAGAGAGAGAGAGAGAAATAGATAAGAGGGTTTAAAAGAGTTTATCTATTTCCAAGAATTGATGTACCTAAGGTGATTGATATGCGTGTTGCCAAATTAAAGCAGGGTAGTTGTCTAACTTTAAGACCACAAAAAAAATCATGCTCTGGGTACTAAAATTAAACTAAATAAAATAAAACAAATTAAATAATAATATAAATATTCAAAATAAACATAATATTAATAGTAACAAAGGTAAAAACAAAGTTTCTAAGATGAAGAAGAAGAAACTTTGGAAACAATGGTGATAAACAAGTTATGAGTAACAAGGTTTGTTTCCTCCTAACGAATCATCCAAGCCTTTACTTTAACATTCTTCTTTTTCAATTTTTCCAGAGTCTTCATAACGTCTGAAGAAGTAACTTCAACAGTAGTAGACACAAAAGTAGAAATCCCAGAGGAGGTTCTAGTTCCGAGCTGAAGAGCTAAATTTGGTTCTTGAGAAGCTTCAACTTCAGTATGAGCATCTGATATGATCTCTTCAGGAGTAAAAACATGTTCTGGTGTAGGGAGCGCCAGAGGCCTATGTTTTTATTTGATTTCAGCAATAAACCTTTGAAATTCCATAGTTGTCTTTAGAGCCTCAAAGAGTCTGACTAAGAATATCTTTAATACTTCATCATAAGAAATACCTTTAAGATACATACAAAAATGAACAAGCCAATCTCTAAATTGATCCCATAATACACCACTTTCAACAAGAATGGCACATTTCATGATAATATGTCTCATAAAGTGTAAACTCTCAACAAATTTTTATTTCATTAACAATAATGATTCATCAAGGGAAGTTATTTAAGGAATTTGGTCAAGTGGGTTCGTTTGAGATGGATGAGGGATACTTTCAGGCTTATCATAAGAATAGGGAATGTTAACTAGAGATAGATTCTCACTATTGACAATTTCAATTTTTGAGGAATCAACTTAAGCAACATGGGTTCCTTGATGAGATTCATCAAGTCTGATGAAAATAGGTATGTCTATTTGATTTGGAACATGGGTGAGGTGTTTATAGGTGGAGTGGAGTTTATGTCTTCCGTGTTAGGTATTGATTATGGGAGGGTTTCAGAAAAGTAGTTAGAAGAGGAAAAGTTAACTAAAGGACGTGATTCTTTGAAGACAAATTTCTGTTTAGTTTCAGATGAGTCATCTGTAGACAATTAGGTATCTTGCAGAATATCATCAAAACTAGAAAAGACAGGTATATCGATTTGATTAGATCAAGGAAGAATAATATTTAAGGGAGATGGCTCATTAAATATACAGTGATCTATTTGAGAGTCTTTAGATAAAGGTGAAAATGGAGATGATAATGAAGATAAGGTATCAAGAGGTTAGTGGGGAGTTTGAAAAGGTGAAAAAGGAGATGATAAAGAATTATTATTAATTGATTCAAAAACACTTGGAGTCTCATTATTAGAGAACTTATCTGAGTTATGTGGAGAAAAGGCTCCAGTTTTCATAGCCTCTAGAACATGACTGAAAAAATTTTCAACTCTTTTAGAGTAAAAATCACCTAGGATGCTTAGAAAGTTTTCTGGAACTTCTAGCTGCTTCTTGACCTTCTTTTTTGTTGGAGGAGGTGTCATTTCAGAGGATTCTTCACTAGAGAGATATTTTTGCTACTTTCTCTTCCTTTTCCTTGGAATTTTAAATTCTTAAATGCTAGGTCGATTTCGAATATTATAACGAATCACCTCAGGAGAATCAACACTGATTTCCAGACACCCCTTAACATATTCAACCAAGACTTCAGTTGGGCCTTCTCTAACAAATAAGTGAAAGTCATCAACAAGAATCCTTCAGGTGGAAATAGAACCTCTATCAAGATCTTCTATTCCTACTGGTTCAAATACAAGTTGCATTTGTTTTAAAGTTCTTTCGTTGAGTGACATGCCTACATCAGTGTAGAGTTCGTCAGTGAAATGAACTTCCTCTAGAAATTCCACGAAGAATAATACTCATCAAATATCCCATCAACATTCCTACAGAGAATAGTGGTCAGAGCAACAACGGTGGAATCTTTACGTATACTCTACATATACCTGAATTGTCGCATGACTTGCTCAAATAAATATGGATACATAAGTTGAGATTCACATGCCAACCATCCATATTACTTCCTCCGACCTTATTTATAAGCACAAGTCTTCAATTTTTTGGCCTTAAATATAAGTATATGTAAGCAAATCTAGTTGCATTTAATGCCTTTATTCCAAAAGGCAAAATTACACCAGTGGTCTTTAAGTTATTTTTGTGTAACATGTTGATACTTTAAGGTTTATTTGTAACAACTTGGTCCTTTAAATTATTAAATATATACACCATATCCTTTTTCAACAGAGTGAATATGCTAATTGTGGATGCAATTAGTTTGAGTGGTGTGGAAATGATGAAGTGCAAACATAAATACAACAATCACACAATTTCAAATGTTCAAAACGTGAGAAAAATATATTTATAAATCATTCTAAAGGACCAAATTATTACAACAAAAAAAACTTGAAAGACCAACATGTTACAAAAAAATAACTTAAAGGACTTCTAGTGTAATTTTGTCATTCCAAAATTATCCATGAATTAATTACTTTATGTTGTTATGGATGCCAATTTAATTAAAGATATATTAGTAATTGTGTTATGTCTTTTACATAAAATAAAAAAAAATCAAATACATTTAACTATCTTCCTTTATAAACGTAAACATTACCTTTTTTACTTATAAATTAGGTCGGAGTAGTACATGACTATCACCTCCAAATGTCGTGTTTAAGTAATAATACGATATTGAAAGTTTAATTTTAAAATAAAAGACCATTTTTATTAGGGTTAAATATATTTTCCGTCTCTATAAATAACTTAAATTCGGTTTTAGTCTTTATATAAATTTTCTTCGAGTAATGGTCCTCCTAAAAGTTTTCTTTCACGCTTTTGATATCTCCGGCTAAACCGTCGGTAATTGAGTCGCTAAGTAAAAAATTATCGCTAAAACCATCGTTAATTTTATTGTTAAATTGTAAAAAAACAATTGTTAAGTTGGAGTAGAGACTAAAAGTGTGTATGAAATTTTTTAAAAAGACCACAATTTGAAGGAAATATTTTGATGGATTCAAAGTGAAATATAAGATACTGGACCACGTACATATTTAACTCTTTTTACTATAAGATTGTGTACAATGAGAGTGTTGAAAAAATTCAATAGTTGAATGTTTGCAATGGAGTGTTGAATGTGGTGTTGAAAATGATGTGGATTAGTTGGTATTAAAAATATTTAACGTGTTGAATGAGAAGAGAATGAGAGACACATATAATACTTTACAAAATTTTATTGGTTATTGTGATTATTTAGATTTTATTTCACCTTAATTGTTTGGAATTAATTATTTTATAATAAATTAATTATTTATTTATTTTTATTTTTCCTAAAATTCATTATTTTTTTCTTCTGTAAATAAAGACTTGGTTCATTAGATTTGGACACATAAAAAAAAATTTCTCTAATTTTTCTATTTAACCTCCCATAAACCCATCTTATTACTCGCAAGAAAAAATTAATTAAAAATATAAAATTAAAAAAAATCAAATAAGTTATGAAATTAAAAAAATAAAACAAATTATTTAACTTTTAATTATTTTAATTTAATTTCAATTGATAATTAATATTAATATATAATCATAAAACAAAAATATAAAAAATAAAAATATAAAATAAAAGCAGTAGAATAGAGTATTGAATTTTATTAAACAAAATTATTATAGTGATTAAAAATTGAATAAGTGTTGAATTATTAAGTGGAAGAAACAGAAGATAATATATAATATAAAAAATGAAAAAGAAGAATTTTTAAATATATAAATCATTGCGGATGATCTAATGAAAAATTAAAAAAAAAAAATCTAAAATAGAATTAAACCTTGATAATTATATTCTCCGACCAAGAGACAATAAATTCAGCCTCATATGAACGATTAAAATGATGAAGAGACAGCAACTAAACGGATTATTACAGTAATTAGTAATTAATTAATTAATTAATTAATACAAATAAAAAGTAATAACAGTGTTGGTGACAGTGTCACACTACTAATACTATTCATTCATCCCTGTTGAAGGTTCCTTTTTCAGTTAAGCTGAGAAAGAGGCGTAAATGGGAACCACAACAACACTGCGACTCTGTTACTTCCCAAACTGCTTCATCACACATCCATGTGGAAGCATCAGCAACAACTGCATGTTCTCTTCAACACAACACCACCACACCACTATCTCTCTCCCGTTCAGTTCCTCCACTCACTTCCATCTCCTCGCTTCGCAAACCAACAACGCCGCAACCGCAACCACAACCACACGGTTAACCTTCTTTCTTCGCGTCTCTCTCTCTCTCTCTCTCTCTCTCTCTCTCTCTTCTTCTCGTTGTTGTTCTTTTTATTATTGTAATACTAACCAGTGAAGTTAACTAGTTGATTGATTTTGAATTTTGAATTTTGAATTTGGATGAGTTTAGGAAAAGCCGGAAGCTGAAAACGGATGACGAGATCTGCTCTGAAATTCGTCAATTCATTGCTGAAGTTGGACTTCCTCACGACCACATTCCCTCTACAAAAGAGCTTATACTTCATGGAAGGTTCTTTCATTTTTTCAATTTTTTGGTTAAATAAAATAGAGACAACTTCGATTCTGAACTGTTCTTATAACACAATTATATAAGCTGCTGCAGTTAATGCAATTTCTAGAAAACAGAGAGAGCAGGATAATAAATGACCAGAAGAAAAAAAATAGGGTTAAATATGTTTTTATTTTCTATAATTAATTATCTTGTGCAATAGCCCTTCTTGTACGTCTTCAAAGACGGGCCCTATCTCTGGTCCTTAATATAAGAGTAAAATTACGTTTTAGATTCGTGTTACTGGTCTATTATATGAACCAAATGCCTTGATTATTCAATGAATTTTAAAAACAAATTTTTTCTTATATTAAGGACCAGAAGGAGTACGATTTTTGTTTTAAAATAGTCCGTCTGTAGAAACTATAAGCTCTTAGTTTTGTTATTTGTAGGGAATGAGAACTTTGTATAGGACTATTGGCAAAATTGTATAGATTTTATCGAAACTAGAAATATATTTGAACAAAAAAGATGTTATTAGTTAGTTGAGCATCTTTATACTCCAATAATTCTGTTAATAATCAATCGTTTCATTGTTCTTTGTAACAATAATATTGTTCCCTTTTAAGTTGTCATTGTTTTAGGGAGTTCACTTACTTAATTTAAAACTGGAAACTTTGTTATTGTTGGCTTATTTGTTTTTTTGTTTTTTTTTTTTGCAAAGGATCTCAATGGTTATGTGTGTTTTAAACTACTTTTTAATAATCTCCTCTATTTGCCTCGTGTATATAGGAATGACCTGGCAAAAATTGTTAGACGTAGAGGTCATAAAAAGATTCAGGATCTTCTCACAGGCTCATTATATGGTGACGTTGATTCTTTAAACACTGCAAATGATAGTGTGGATCTATTAACAGGTCAAACAGATTTATTTCTTAATGATTTCTTTTTCTGTATTATTCACAATCATGACTGATGACTGAACATAATACAATTTAAAGGTCAGAATGAGAAGGTTGATGTGTTGGTCGATGGTGTCTTGGCATCGACTGTATTTCCTCATGAGGAGGGAGACAGCTCTGGTAGTGCGTTTGTTGACTCAACTCTGAGTTTAGATGAATGCACTTCAATCCCTGTAGAATCGTCGACTAGTTCATCTGTCGAGGATGGGGTAGGGAAACTCAAAGATTATGCTGAAGAAGTTAACAGCATGGCAGAGGGGAATTTATTTCCAACTGAATTGACCACTGTGGACAATGATTGCAGTAGTTCAATAGAAGGTCTTTATCCGAATTCTGATAGCCTACCACGTTCCATGCCAACAGAAATTTCTGGTGAATCACCATTTGAGACAACGTTGTTTGTGAATTCTGAGCGTGAGGGTACTTTAATGGCAAAAATGGTTGGAGATATTACATATCCATTGACAGTTCCTTCTATGGAAAACCATTCCAACACTTCATTTAAGGATCCCGATCTTGACAACGGAGACAAAGTGTCCATGGAGCAAAAGGACGGGGGGGTGTTAGAAGGTGTAGATATCTACAATAACTATATTACTGAGGATATTTACCAAACCTCTGAATTTTTTTGAGAGCAAGATTGATTTGATTATTCGTTCTGCAGACATCAGTGATGTAAATCTTGAAACTTCGTCCAACTTATCTTTGGAGGAAAGGGTCGCAAATTTTATTCAGAATGGAGATTTAGATGCAGTTGAAGGTAAGACTAATATGTAGTTTCATATCCTTATGATGAATGCCTACAACTATGCCTTTGACAACATAAGCTTGTGATTTGAGTTTCAGTATACTCACTAAAAAGAAAAGAATAATAAATGTGGTAAAAAAGCCGTGTTCTATTTTAATTATTACTTGTGATGTGAGTCCCATGGTTATTTGATACTGTGATTGCTGTATTTCTCCATTAGTAAAATTTATATCGCAATGCAAATAGATATCTATCTACTTTGCTTCACTTTAATTTTTCAAGTTAATGTCGGGTTACATTGCCAACAACTGCATTTTATGCACACTTTCCTTCTGATACTTTTGGACATTGCATACATAAGTCTAGTTGTTTGATTCTTAGAACGTGTCTCTTGCATTTCAAACTGAGATGATTTTTAGGAAAGCAAAGTGTATATTGAATCAAAATCTATTTTTGATACGCCACTAGGTGGACGTCCACATAAAGAGAATAATGTCATGGCACCTAATGGGATCTCACTGACATCCAATCAAGCTATTCTGCCTGGAAAATTGGACCAGCCTCTTCGGTAAGTTTTCTGTATTATATGGATCCTAATTGCCAACTACCACTGTTGGAGGTTAGTTAATGTTTGAATCTGAACTGGCATCCCCTTTTTTACTTGTATTCAAAATATATGTAGGGACAATCACATGCCACATGAGGATCCAATAACTCATTTTGACAAGGATTTGGATGCCGAGGTCATTATAAATTCTATCTTCACTGATAACTCATTGAGATTTATATTGTTTGCTTTTTTACTTAATGTCATTATGCAGGCTCGAAATGCACAAAATCAAAGTGAGATAAATCATCTCAAGTTCATGCTGGTAGTAATTATCATTTTTTTTTTGTATTTTAGATATTTAGAGTTGTTGGTTATTTTTTTGTTTAGACTAGTTATATTTATGAATATAACTTGTTATCATTCTCTTTCTCTTTTTTTTTTTTCCATCTCTCTTCCTCTTGCAAATGCTATTTGTTGCATAGCACCAGAAGGAATTGGAATTGACTCGGCTGAAGGAGCAGATTGAGAAGGAAAAGGTAGATGATCTAATTCTGAAAATTGAGCCCACAAGATGTGTCTATATAATTATTGTTAACCCGCATTGGCTGTATGGCCGAAGCGCCAATGTGGGTTAAGCTGTTCTCCCATCCCTCTCTGCAATTTATGAGAGTTATTTCATTCAACTTGCTTAGGCACATATTGTATTTGCTTTCAGCATGCTCTGTCTGTCTTGCAAACCAAGGCGGAGGAGGAAATCAGCAAAGCCAAAAAACTCTTATCTGAAAAAGATGCAGAGCTGCTTGAAGCTGAGGAAAGTCTTTCAGGACTCAAGGAGGTATCACATCTGTGTTCTTGTGGACTTTTAGTCCACTAATGTATTAGGAGGGTCTTGCATTTTGTTGTCCTAGTGGTTAGCTTTTTTAATAAAGTTTGCGATTAAAATTTCTTGAGCTACTGATAGCACTGTGTTCCTTGTATTTCCAGGTCGTTATTGAGTTCTCTGGTGATGGTGATGTCGTGGAGGTAGCTGGAAGCTTCAACGGCTGGCATCACCCAATAAAGATGGACCCTCAACCTCAACCATTAAGTAGTGTTATTGACCATGGTGGATCAAGGTTCTAAATATTTTAACATCGTACCATTCTTGAATTTGTTTTGACACTTCAAATCCAGTTCAAATTTCAATAAGCAACAATTGCTGATTAATTTATTTGCCATCATATCAGATAAGTAAGAATTAACCTGTCTTAGTAAAATATTGATATCTTCTATTCATTGTGATAAAATCCAAAAAATCCAGATCTTGGTCAGCGATGCTGTTGCTATATCCAGGTGTATACGAGGTGTGTGTATCTTCCACTAAAGTTTAATTGAATTTACATAAAGAGCTTAAATACTTGAAGATTTAATAACTACTTGTTTGTTGTAGATAAAATTTGTTGTTGATGGCCACTGGACAACAGATCCTCAACGAGAATCAGTAAGAAGGGGTCACATATGTAACAACATTTTAAGAGTAGATAGGTGATGCATTCTGGTTCATGTCATAACTGCCAGATGTATATAACAAGGTAAGATAATAACTTCCATTTTGACTGTTTGCAATCATCCCGCCAAAAGTAACAGAATCAAACTAAGGATCGTAAATTTAATATTGTTGTGGACTGTTGTAGGGTACATATCATTTCAAGATAATGGTCTGCTGTGAACTTCCAAATTATTGATTTTGACAGCAATTTGAACAAGAGGAGGCATAAGCACGCAAGAAATATCAGCATTTGGATTGAGTGTCTTCTAATACCATCTAGATGTGCATTTAATTTTGAGATTAGTGATTTTGATGTCTATCTTTGACGTATGTTCAAGGATTAGTTTGTAGTTAGGAGAAAATCGACCATTAGGCACGGGCTAATAGTGAGGATTTAGATATTTTTAGAAAGAGGTAATTGGTTTTAACTTTTAATGTCCACACCTCTTGTCATTTTTTGTGGTTCATTATAAAAGCGTCTCTCAAGAACCATGATGCAAATTCATTTTGCTGAGTACTGTAAATTTAAGATGCGATGTAGTATGATGGATGGCATCAAACTTTAATTTTTTTATGAAGTCAAATTCAAAGATTTAGTTAGACTCTTTTAAATGGGGTGGCTTCTAAAGTGATGACTCAATTAATTCTCTCACTTCCCAAAAAAATAACACCACTTTAACATGTGGTTCAAATTTGTTCAAAATGAAAATATATACATTAGTTTTGTTATTGTTATTTTAGTAATATTTATTAATGTTATTTTAATATTATTAGTAATTTTAGGTTTGGGTATTTAGTAAGATCTATTATATTAGAATATAGATTAGTGCTTGTCTATTCATTAGGGAAACTGGTGAAATTCTGTTTTTATCCCTATAATTCGGAGATGTATCTCCGAACGTATCAGAGTTCATTTTTCTTGGGTGATTTCGGAGATGTATTATTGAAGTTACGAAATATCATTTTTGGGGGTGAATTCAGAGATGTATTTTCGAAGATACCCAATGCTTTATTTCAGATGTGCATTTCCGAAATAAACACAATGATTTTTCCATAACAAAAACTTTGAAACATTGACCTTGAAACATAGATATAAGATAGATGTTAAAACATTGATATTAAATCTAATATAGATAACATAAATTTAACATTGAAAGTCGAAATTACATAGATATTGAAATATAAATTTAACTTTACATATTGTTATACGGGTAACTGGGGATGTCGCAACATTTTAATAACATTTTCATCGGATCTCTGAATCTTTGTATCCAATTCAATCAGATCCTTAATAGAGTATCAGTGAAAAGTACTCCACATAACCTTTAAATCGTCATCCGTCTTCAGCTCAAACTTGGTGAACTTGACCTTTCCTTCAGTGTCAAGTGATGGTGAATGATACTCGAGCTTGACTATCCTCTGATTTTTTTTTGGATATTGCAAGAGAGTTGAGTATGATAATGAGCTCAACGAGAGGCGTGTCCTCGTAGAACCTAAATTAAAGTGGCGGTTTCGCACCATTGAAGTAAACAAAAGTAAGGTGAGGATATGTTTGTGTCATATCTGATTTGTGGTGTGGTGTTTGATTTGTGGTGTATGATGTTGAAGAAATGATTGACACTCTATTTATAAAAGATTTGAAGTAATTTAGTCCCAAGAATTCTTATCCCGTGTCAGGGCGTGTTTCGGAAATACACTTCCAAAACAACCCCTTATATTTTTAACAAAAAGGGTGTTTTCGGCAGTACACTTTCGAAACAATCGATTATTGAAGTAAATGTTGTTGATTATTGAAAACGTGATCATTTGCAAATTGGTGTCCAACATCTATGTCGACAACAGTCGATTTAACGTCGTTCTTCACCTCATCCGACTTAGCATCATTATTCACGTTGTCCGAAACATCCTTGGGAAATATGTCAGGGTGCACCATATCTAAAACGGGCAACAACAGAAAAATTGTATATAATTTTGTTTCTATAATAGGCAGTTTCAGAAATGTATTTCTGAAATAGTTAGGTGGATTTTAGAAATATACTTTCAAAGTGACGCAGTTTTTCATCTTAAAAATCAGCATCGATGTAAGGAATTGAGAGATGAAATGAAGAAAGTTTACCTTAAATTGTAGATTTCTATGCTCTCTTTGACATGATAAAACACTTGAAATTTGGTTTGGAGACGAAAAATTGATTGACAATGAATTGAGTTTTTTAGAGGGTTTTGGTTATGGAATGAGTTGAAGAGAATGAAATAGTTCATGCAGTAAGGTGATATAAGTTGCATAATTTCGGAAATACATCTCTGAAAATATAGTTCAATGTTTAAATTTAACGTTTGGTTTAAAACAAGGTATTTTCGGAAGTGTATTTCCAAATTCTGCCCAAAATTTGATTTTGGGTGCATTCCGAGATGCATTTCCGAAACACCTTGATTTGTGGTGCGTTTGAAGATACATTTCTGAAGGGTATTTTCGCGTTTTCAGAGGTTATTTCTCACCCCTAAGAGGTGTATAAAGAAATTCTCATTCATTATTATCAATAATATTCAGATTCAAATATGGTATCAGAGGTTATCTTAGATCTATTGTTGGGATTCCCGTATCACTCAAGCCCAAGTGTGAGGGATGTGTTGGAATTTTTGTCTTGTCTTAATTGTAGTCTACTCTTAGTCATCTTAATTGTGGTATTTGGATTGTCTTCATTGCAATCTCCAACATCTTCGAAGGGGTGAGTTTAATCTTATATTATTAAGAGATATGGTTTGTGTTGTGTTAATAAATAAAGATATTCTTCACCTTACAAATCGATTTTGCAAGATTAAGTTAGGTTCAACTCAAATTCTTAAAAATACACATTCTCACTCACAATCTTGTCTATCCGTCTCCTATATGTGAATCTATCCTCCTAATGAAGAGATTATTTTTAATTTAAGTTGTTTTTTTTTTCAATTATTTGAAAAGGAGACAATTAAAATCTATCTAATTTTAGCACCTTCTAAAACATGATATGTGGAGTTCAATCCTATTTGCCAGGGATGCTGTTAGATTATTTACAACACAAATCCATAGCCAATTTATAACCACTTATAATGACACAATATTATAACCAATTCATATAAATAATTTATTTTTAAGCAATCAACTATAAAATCAATTACATTCATAATCAAATTTTCATAGAAAAAAGAGAATATGCACGACATTTTTTATACTTTTAACTAATGAGAGACTTGTATTTAGAGGTGTTTGCATTATGGTTTGAACAGTTTTTACGCTAAAAGTTATCTAAAGAGCAAGGGAAAAAAAACACACAGTTTGATTTGATTCGATTGACTTTTAAAAATCAAATCAAACCAACGCAGTTTGAGTTAGTTCGGTTTTTAATAAGATTTTTATTGAGTCATAAATATACATATATAGGACAATATAATTTTGTGTTTATTCATTCATACATTATTATAAAATAAGTTTATTGTACAAATAAATTTATAATTTAATTCATAAATATGAATTTCTTCTTTTAGTTTTATCTTTTGTCTAAAGGACAATATACATGAAATTGCGCTCTTAAATAAATTTGTAAATTATTTTTTTGGTTTCGTAAGTTAAATTCAAAGTTTATTTTGGTCCCTTAACTTAAAAAATATTTATATTAATCTCTTAACTTTCGAAGCGTTTTATTTTAGTCTTTTTATCTAATTAGCGACGAATTTAACGATCAATTTCTAAGATTTTTTATCGCTAATTAGACAAAAAGAATTAAAATAAAACGTTTTAAAAATTATAAAATTAATATAAACCCTTTTTAAATTAAAAGACCAAAATAAATTTTAAAGTTAACATACGAGATAAAAAAAACAAATTTTGTCATTTTTATATATAATGGAATGCATAAGTAATATACATTAAATTTATTTTAATCTTATTCTTATCAACGTTAATAAATTAAAAATATATAATAATTTCTTTTTAAAAAAAATTAATAGTATTTATAAATAAATAATATGTTATTTTTATTGATATGTAAATTAAAATAAATATTATATAAAATACATTGATTTCTTTAAAAAATTAAAATAATATATAATAGTTTAAAAGGTTTTGTAAAATACAAACCATAAACCGAATTAATTATGTGGTTTTGTTAGAAAATTACTTCAACACATCTTAATCAAATGTGATTTTTGATTTGGTTCAGTTTAGTTAGCTATTTTTTATTAGGTATATTTGATTTTGAACACTCCTATATGTATTCGTCAAATCACACTTTTATTTTTAAAGTACTGATATGACTTGGTTAAATGATAAAATCGTATTAGATGATGGTGTAAAATCATTTAACATTGTCAATGCACAACCTTTAATCTCATTTTCTAAGAGAAAATAGAATATGTACTAACAGTGTAAAATATTTGTACAATATCAATCAATGGAGAACGTGTATCTTACTAAATCACGCTTTTATTTTTAAAATAATAATATAACATGGGCGAATGATAAAATCTTATAGAATAATAATATAAAATTATTTTACATCATCAATGCACTACCTTTAATCTCATTACTTGCTAATTAATTTTAAAATTACATCTAATTTTCAATTTAAAATTAGTTTTAAATATAAAATTCAGTTTTTAAAATTGAATATTAATTTTTTACAATTGGATTTTCAATTAAAAATCAATTCCAGTATAAGAATTCAATTTAAAAAAATGAATTTTACAAAAAAAAAATTATTCTTTAAATTTTAGAGGAAATAAAAATAAAAATAAAATATTTAGGAGGTCAAAAAACATATTTATCTTTTTAAATTTGAGTATTATGCTTGATTAGATACCTATTGGAATATACTAAATTGTAAAAATCGTCATTGAATTATAAAAAAGATTAAAAAAATTAAAATTAAATATTAGAATAGGACTATTTTTTAAAGAAATTTTTTAATAGAACTAAAAATTAAATATGACACATGGAAGAGGACAAAAACATATTTAATTCAATT